GATTTCCTAGAATTCCTTGAGAGTGAAGACACAACATACCCAATCTTACAGGACACTTTGAAAGCAGTGCTATGAGGAAAGTTCATTGTAATAAGTAATGATATGAAGAAAACAGAGGATAATCACATTACAGAATTAACAGCACAACTGAAAGCCTTACAACAAAAAGAAGCAAACTCATCCCAGAGGAGTAAACACCAGGAAATAATCAATTTGAGAGCTAAAATCAATAAAGTAGAAACCAGAAAAACAATACAAAAAAAATCAATTCAACAAAGAGTTGGTTTTTCAAGAAAATCACGAAGATGGACAAAACTTTATCAAAGCTAAACAAAAAAGCAGAGAGAGAACATGCAAATTAACAAAATCAGAAACGAAAAACGAGGATGTAACAACAGACACTGAAGAAATCCAGACATACTTTGAAAATCTGTACTCCACAAAATTCAAAGGAAATGGACAAATTTCTGGATAGCTATCACTTAACAAAATTAAATCAATAACATAAAAGGAATTTAAATAGACCTATAACTGCTAATGAAATAGAAGCAGTCATCAAAAGCCTCCCAACCAATAAATAATAAAATAAAAAGCCTAGGACAAGATGGCTTCAGTGCAGAATTCTACCAAAAACAGAAGGTTCATTACCAAACTCTTTCTACAAGGGAACAATTACCTTGGTACCCAAGCCACACAAAGACATACCCAAGAAAGAGATCTACAGACCAATACTCCTCATAAAAATTGATGCAAAAACCAAACACTCAATAAAAAGCTGGGAAGTCAAATCCAACAGCACATCAGATAAATCATCCACCATAATAAGTAGGCTTTATTCCAGGGATGCAGGGATGATTCAACATATGAAAATCTATCAATGTGATCCACCATATAAACAATCTGAAAAAGAAAAGCCACATGATCATCTCACTAGATGCTGACAAAGCCTTTGACAAAATCCAACACACTTTCATGATAAAGTTCTTGGAGAAATCAGGGATTACAGGAACATACCTAAACATAATAAAAGCAATATACAGTAAGCCAACAGCCAACATCAAACTGAATGGATAGAAGCTTAAGGCCATTCCTCTAAAATCTGGGCAAGACAAGACTTTCCACTCTCTCCATGTCTCCTCAATATTGTACTTCCAGTTCTAGCTAAAGCAATAAGACAACAAAAGGAGATGAAGGGTATACAAATTGGAAATGAAGAAGTCAAACTCTCATTATTTGCTGATGATATTATAGTTTACATAAATGACCTGAAAAACACTACTAGGGAACTCCTACAGCTGACAAACACCTTCAGAAAATTAGGAGGATACAAGATTAACTAAAAACAATATCAGTATCCCTACTATATACAGATAATAAAGGAGCTGAGAAAGAAATCAGAGAAACAACATCCTTTACAATAGCCACAAACAGCATAAAGTATATTGGGGTCATGCTTACCAAACAAATGAAAGACCTATAGAGCAAGAACTTAGTATCTTTAAAGAAAGAGATTAAAGATCATAACAGAAAATGGAAAGATTCCCCCATGCTCTTGGATAGGTAGGATAAACATAGTAAAAATGGCAATCTTGCCCAAAGCAACCTACAAATTCAATGCAATCCCTGTCAAAATCCCAGCACAATTTTCCATAGGTCTTGAAAGAAGAATACTCAACTTTATATGAAAAAAAAAACAAAAACAAAAACAAAAGACTCAGGATAGCCAAAACAACCCTGCATAATAAAGGAACTTCAGAAGGCATCACCATCCCCAACTTCAAGCTCTACTATAGAGCTGTAGTCCTGAAAACAGACAGGTAGACCAATGGAATTGAATTGAAAATCCTGATATTAACCCACACACCTACAAACACCTGATTTTGGGGGAAACAGCTAAAAGTATACATCTTCAACAAATGGTGCCGGCACAACTGGATGATGGTGTGTAGAAGGCTGCAGATAGACCCATGTCTATTGCCATGTACAAAACTTAAGTCCAAATGGATTAAAGACCTCAAAATAAATCTAGCCACACTGAACCTCTTAGAAGAGAAAGTGGGAGGTACCCTTGAACAAATTGGTACAGGAGACTGCTTCTTGAAAATAACACCAGTAGCACAGACACTGAGATCAACAATTAATAAATGGGACCTCCTTAAACTGAGAAGCTTCTGTAAGGCAAAGGACACAGTTGACAAGACCAAACAGCATCCCACAGACTGGAAAAATATCTTCACCAACCCCAGATCTGACCGAAGGCTGATCTCCAAAATATACAAAGAACTCAAGAAATTAGTCACCAAATAACCCTATTAAAATGTGGGGTACAAAACTGAAGAGAGTATTCTCAGTGGAGGAATACAAAATGGCTGAAAGACATTTAAGAAAGTGCTCAACATCCTTAGCTATCAGGGAAATGCAAATCAAAACAACTTTGAGATACCATCTTACTCGTGTCAGAATGGCTAAAATTAGAAACACCAATGACAGCTTATGCTGGAGAGGATGTGGAGAAAGTGGAACACTCCTCCACTGCTGGTGGGAGTGCAAACTTGTTCAGCCATTTTGGAGATCAATATGGTGGTTTCTCAGGAAAATGGGAATCAGTCCACCAAAGGACCCAGCAATCCCACTCTTAGGCATATACCCAAATGATCCACATCGATGCAACAAAGACATCTGTTTAACTATGCTCATAGCAGCCTTATTTGTAGTAGCAAGAACCTGGAAGCAACCTAGATGTCCCTCTATTGAAGAATGGATAAAGACTATGTGGCACATTTACACAATGGAATACTACTCAGCAGAAAAAAACAATGGAATCTTTAAATTTGCAGGCAAATTAATGGAACTTGAAGAAACCATCCTGAGTGGGATAACCCAGTCACAAAAAGAGAAACATGCTATCTACTCAGTTGTATATGGATTTTAGACATAGAACAAAGGATCACCAATCTATAATTCACACTGCCAGAGAAACTAGGATACAAGGAGGAACCTAAGAGATTCATACAAGGTCCCTCACAGAAGGGGAAAGGGACAAGATATCCTGAGCATATGGGGAGTGGTGGGGAGGCAGTGAGTGGAAAGGGAGTTAGAAGAAAGAGAAGGGGAGGAGAGAACATGTGGGACTATGAAGATTGAGTCAGGGGATGAATAAATGAGAGGAAAAAAAAAAGATACCATAATAGAGGGAGTCGTTATGTTTGAAGAGAAAACTGACACTACAGAAATGTGCAGAGACCTACAAGGATGACCCCCAACTAACAATCTGAGCAACAGTGGAGAGCAACCAGTTGCAGAGAGCGAGGAGTGTTAAGAAAATGGGGTCGAGATCAGGCTACAGAAACCCACAGAGACAGCTGGCCTGAACCCCCAGACTGATAGCTGGGAATCCAGCATTGGACCGACTCAGACCCCCTGAACATGGGTCTCAGAAGGATTGAGCAGTCTAAGGGACCTCTGACAGTGAAACCAGGATGTATCCCTGGTGCACAAAAGGACTTTGAGAGCACATTCCCCATGGAGGGATACTCCCTTAGCCTAGAGACAGGAAGGAGGGTTTAGTCCCTACTCCAAATGACTTGACATTTTGATGATCCCTCCTGGAAGGCATCGCCCTCCCTGTGGAGTCTGTAGGGGGGGAATGGGAGGAGGTTCAGGGAGGAATGCAAGGGAGGGAGAAGAAACTGGGATTGATATGTAAAATAAGAAAAATAATAAATATATAAAGAAAATACAATCATACATGCATACATACATACATACATAAATACACACATACATGCATACACATGTGTGTTTGCCAAAGAACAAATTTAATAAAAGATTCTAATTTGGCAAATCTGTTATTTTACTTATTTACTTCCTTTTTACATTTATTTATTTGTTCATCTAGGGAGAGAAAAGCATGAGTGAACCACTGCACATTTGTACTGGGAGACAGCTTGCAGGAGTCAGTTTTCTGTGCCCTCTATGTGAATTCTGAGGCTTAATCTTAGGTGGTCAGGCTTGACCCACTTTGTAGACCCTTGGATCCTTCTTTTAAATATGTATGAGATATGCCCAAAAAAACATATGGACACATTTGTTTCTTTCCTCAGTGTTAGCATTTATTGAATAACAAGAAATTCAGAAACTACATCTGGCTTTAGTTCACCAAGTGCTCTTAATTTCACTAGGTGTTGACAGTAACGTTTTCTTTTATTCTAATTTTAATCACTGACATTAACTATCAGAGCATACATTATCTCTGCCTTCCTCTCTCCCTGTCTTACTCCCTCACTCTCTTTCTCTCCCCCCCTCTCTCTTGTGTATATATGTGTGTTACCACCCTACCTCCTCCCTGCACCTTTCTCTCCCTCTCTCTCTCTCTCTCTCTCTCTCTCTCTCTCTCTCTCTCTCTCTCTCTCTCTCATGTGTATGTGTGTTACCTCCCTCCTTTCCTCTTCTTCCCCCTTCGTGTGTGTGTGCGTGCGTGTGTGCGTGTGTGCATGTGCGTGTGTGTGTGTGTGTGTGTGTGTGTGTGTGTGTGTGTGTAGCTACAAAAGGGTTAGAAGCTCTTAAGGGATTAAACAGGATGCACTGAAGACAGAGGCAAAGAGCTGAGGCATGCCAAAGGAAACATCTCTGTATGAGATCAGATAAGGAATTATACTGGCCAGGCATGGTAATACATGCATGTGCACTGAAGTGTTTAACACATGAACCCTACTTTAAGTCTTTACTAGGATAGAGGTGCTCTCAGGAAAACAGTCACCTGGTGTGTATTCGATTCCTGAGAGGTGGAAAAAAAATCAAGTCCAGGAGTTTCCTAGCCAGTCTCTTTCCCCCAAGTTACAAAGAAAAGAAATTAGGGTCACTGATTTTTCTAGGACCAGGGTATGCTTTTCAATGACTTCCTCAATGTCCCACCCCTAACTCCTACTAAAGAAGCCCAGCCTCACCAGTGTATAAATAGTGACACGTCCTGCCCTAACTTGAAACTTTCTGCTTCCAAAATGGGCAAGTCTCACTTAATGGGATTTCTCATTTTACTCTGCTATTTGAAGGGTGAGTCCTGAGAGTCACCAGTTGGTGAGAGAGGTCCAGGATCCAGGAATGGGTGAGAACTCCCATGAGGGAGGCCAGCCATGGCAACCCAGCAGAAAGAACAGCCCCTGTGTGCTGTGCCTTCTGCTCACCCTGAATCAGGTCACTGGGACCTTAACCAAAGCCCTTTTGCTCATAGGAGGAGGTAGATGATTTACTAACAGATTGGGAGATTCCTAGAAGCCGTGCAATGGGGGTTGGAAACGTATACTCTGCAGAGACTATGATTTTTATCTTTTTGTTTTTTCAACAGTTTCCTCTGCATCATTTACACATGAGCTTGACAAACGTGAGTAGAAATGGATGAGAAAATAAATAATAAGATGAAGTGAGAATACAGAATGAGTGGAGTGGGATGGGCTCTGGGGGCTCAAAGTAACCCTCAAATAGTCATTATTCCCACATTCAGCAGCCTCTTCTGGCAGGATACAGGCAGGATGGGAGCTGTCTTTAGGGCTAACAAAGAGCTGGAGTAGAAATTGACAAAGCTAGGAACAAAAACAAGGGACCCGAGAAGTGGAATGTGGGGTTTGCAGAAGCCAGGTGGTCCAATCTGGGTATCAGCCTCCTGAATTTCGGAAGCCTGTTCTGATTGTCCGATCCTAAGTAAAACTATCATGGAGCTTCAACTGAAGGAAGAAAATGAAATAAAATCATATGTATTTATCCCCTTCCTTCTGGTCTATGCTGCATCCCTTAGAGGTGGGAAGAAGATTCTGAAGGGACCTAAAATGACAAAGAGGATAAAAGAGAAAAGTGGTACACCATGGCAAAAGCACCTTCAGAATAATAGACAAGAACCACTCAAAACTGCAAGCTAGAAGGCAAAATGAGTTCAGGAGGGGGGTGGAGAGTGCAAGGGGAGGGCAAATCTCAGACAGAAGTACAGGCTGGTTCTCTTTATCTCACCTGAACAGCTGATAAAGTGCTCGTTCATGAAAATAACAATGGTGGTAAGTACAAAGGAACCCCAGCCTGACCATCTTGGCACTATGTTTCTTTTCCTCCTTCCTTTCCTGATTTGCCCCTGCCATCCTCCAAGGTGGAACTTTGGAGACCGTGAACTCCTGTCACCCTTTTGGTTTCACCGATTCTAATAGAGGCACATGCCCATGCTTTGATGGGGTTTGGGGTAGGGAACGTGCGGGCAAAGCCTTCCAGCTCTAAGCATGCTTCAAACTCGAACACTGGGAGGATGGGCTCGTTCCTGGTAGTGTCATCGCTCATTCGTTCCTGGTAGTGTCATCGCTCATGTCTGTCTCTCTTCAAGTTGTGGAAATTGTGCAGTGTAGGATGTGCCATCTCCAGTTCCCTGGGGAGAAGTGCTCTAGAGGAAGAGGGATATGTACTGCAACGGCAGAAGAAGCCTGTATGGTGGGAAAGATCTTCAAAAGTAAGTGGTGTGGGAAGGAAGGGAAGATGGGGATAAGCATTTCCGGTTACTATAGACAGCCTCTCTCCTGAGATAGATAGCAATGTGACGCCCATAATTCCCTGTGATAAAAGAGAAATGAAGGCAGCTGCTAAAGCAAAGGTTATACTCAAGGCGACAGTGGAGTGGGGGGGGTCGGGGGAAGGTGGTTGGGAAGCATGAAAGGGAGGGAGGGAGGGAAGGAGGGAGAGGGAACTGGGTTCGATGTAAAATAAAAAAATTAAAATTAAAAAAAGAAGAAGCCTGAAGACAACAGAGTGGGCAGGATGCAGGTGACGGGGTGGAAGCAATACTATCCGGAGAGCAGCTAGTTGGTAGTGAAAACAGCTCTGTTTACCTGCCCAAGGCTTCTTCAAAAATGGCACCAACTCTCCCACATGGTTTCCTGCTCTTAGTGATGCCCAAGCCTTGAGATTCTCAGTAGAAACCCCCAGGGTGGTCAACCCCTGGTGCACTTCTCCCATGACCTTCCTACCTCCAATAAAGTCTTAAAACTGTGCCACTATATCTTTTGTGTGGCCACCAGCTTCCAATGCCTTCCAACCCTTCATATCTGAATAATGGAGCATGACTACCACACGGTGATTTTGAGATGCCAGCGCAGGTTGGAGAGCAGCTGACTTACAGAAGCCTCTGCTGGGCTTGCTGATCTGTTCTTCCCTCTTCTGCAGGGGATGGTACCATGTGGTTAAACTTCATGGGCTGCCTAAAGAACTGTGCTAATGTGAAAAGCATAAAGTGGGGCTCCTATCTGGTGAACTTCAGGTGCTGCCGGGGCTATGACATGTGCAACGAAAGGTTTTAGAAGTCTCTGGTCCTTCTGTGCTCCAACGTCTGGGTGATGTGTCGACTTCTTCGTGAGGACTTCCCGAGGATAGCACTACACAGAAGGGTGGCAAACGTGTGACTCTGCCTGCTAATGTGTCAGGGGGGATGCACCCTTTTTCTAAAGTCCCTTCCTGTTTCAAAATCAATTAAAGGTGAATAAACAGAACTTTCTTACCAAGATCAGCATGTGCATGGTTTGTTAGCAAACCTCCTGGATAGCCAAGTACTAAGGACAAAAACAAAATTAAACTCAAAATATGGATCCTTCTTTCTTCTATTCTGTGGTAAAATTTTAAAATTTTTATTACCATGTAATGATTATATACAATAATTGGCTTTGTTGTGACATCCCCATGCATGTATATAATGTATTCTGATCATACTCACCCCAGTACTCTCTCTAGTCCTCCATTCCACTCATCACCTTCTCAACTAACCCCCCTTTTCACTTTCACGCCTTGTGTTTGTGCAGCTCAGTGAGGTTAATCAGTGTCTTAGTTAGGGTTTATTATTGCTGTGAAGAGACACCGTGACCATGACAACTCTAATAAAGAAAACATTTAATTGAGGGTGACTCGCTTACAGTTTCAGCCATTATCATCATGAAGAAGAGGATGGCAGCATACAGGCAGACATGGTGCTGTGAGTAAGAGTGCTGCATCCTTCAGGCAACAGAAGTTGACTGAATGTCACATTGAGGGAAGCTTGAGAAAAAAAAGACCTCAAAGCTCTTCCTCACAGCAACACACTTCCTCCATCAAGGCCATACCCACTCCAACAAAGTCACACCTCCTAATAGTGCCACTCCCTATTAGATTATGAGGGCCAATTACATTCAAACTACCACAACCAGGGTTGCTAAGAGGAGCATCATTGAAAGGTTATTTACAGGCATGAAGAAAAAAAATCTCTTCTTTTCCCAGCATCCACTAAGCTTATGAATCCTTGAGAAAGACTGGTCCTCATGTGCTTCTCCCCAGGTAAGCACAACTTCCATGAATTCAAAGTGCAATAATCATGTCATCCCCAGAAAACAGAATTCACAGTACTCCATTCCAACCTTGAGTGCTCCTATTCTTTCCAAATTCTCTGCGATGCTGGAGCCTTGGAAGTAGTGACATGGGCATCCCATTTGTGGTTCTATGGCAAGTTATGGACCTCAGCAGGTACCACTCCCACTGCAAAAAGCATGCAGCAGCACTGATCTATGAAGATACACAGTTAGGAAAGCTGACAGGTTTGCTAACCATGTCCTTTCATGTCCGTTTACCAGGTCAACCATTGTAGCTTCCTCATTAAGGCCTATAACTTTTCCCTTTGTGGCTGGATATTTTATTAGTTCTTTCTCTTGTTTTCTTCCCTGCCTCTTATCCCATTATTAAAGCATGGACCACTGGCTTCCTGAAACAGAATGTGCATGGTAAAAAAAAAAAAAATCAGTGATTGAACTTTCGCTGGATTTTGTTCATCGATGCTTCTTGCAGGCTGAGGGAAAGGTAAGGGCATAGAAAGGAACCTGTGCTTGAGATACAAAGAGGGGAAGCTCTTCTGCCTCTGTATTTCCAGCTATGGACCGAAGACACGGGATGGGACTGTGGGAGGAGTCTATGGGATTCTGCAGGTTCCTGGCACCAGCTTCCCTGGAGGACTCTTTACAGAAGGATCACAGGCAGGGAAGAGCTGCAGGGTGCCTCTAAGAAGCTCGAACCAGCAAGCATGAAGCCCAGTGCTGTAGACACTGAGAGCTATGAGGGCAAGGAAACTCTCTGGATCTGGCTTCATGAAGGGTCCAACCACTGCCATCTCTCATTACACTCAGGCTTTTCATGATAACATAATTCTAGCATACTGTGGGAAATGGGGTAAAACGAGTGTGTCATGGGATTGAAAGTGTTGTAGAATGGAACCTGAAAAGGGATTAAGCCCTACCATGAGAAAAAAAGAAAGTTACATTTCTTGGCATCATCTCTTTCTCTTCCCTTCCAAACTCTTCTTCAATCTGTTTGACATTTACTCAAATCATACCACATCCCAGGTATTGCTAGGCCCAGCCATGATCTCTGTCCTCATGAGGCTTTATCTAATAGAAGATTGGGACATGAATGAATAATAGTGATATAAGCAATCCCTGTGTGAGAGCCATTGGCATAAATACTTCATACTCGTCTCTTATTCCCTCTTCACAGAACCTGAGGAGCACACCACTGGTGACCTCCTTCAGTTCAGGCAGGAAAATGAAAGTGTCAATCATTCCCACAAAAATAAAAAAATAATAATAATTTAAACAACTTTGAAATAAAGAGCTGTTAGCCAGGCATTGAAGGAATAAATAAATAAATAAGCACAATGAGATGTTGATTTAACATATAGAAACTGTGTGAAGCCTCTAACACCCATGAACCTCTGAGAACACAGTGAGAAATTTGTCACCAGACTTTAGCAAATTAGAAGAGGGACCCTGATCCTCTGAAACTCAGACACCTGAAACTGGGTTACTCAGCTGTAGACACCTCAAAATCTCCAATGAAGCCAGATATGACATCTCAAGTCTTTAGTCTCAGCACTGTGGGGACTGAGGGGGAATTACCACAAGCTTGAGAGCAGTATGAGCTACATCTTGAGTTCCAGGACAGTTTGAGCTACACATAGAGTCAGATCCTGTTTAAAACAACAATAAAATAAATTCCAAGGAAGGTACCTATGAGAACAAAATGCATACTTCAAAGGAAGAAATGCAGTTAATTGGTGGTTTCTGGAAATGGGGTGGTAGTATGGCATAAAACAGAACCCTAGCAAGTTAGCATCATATAGCAGAATATAGAACAGTGTGCCTAAAGGTGAGAAATAACCATCTTTCCATTTTATTAAAAATAGATTCTTTTCTCATACAATATATCACAATAACAATTTTCCCTCCCTCTATTTCCCCCAGTCTCTCCCCACCTCCTCTCCCATCTGGATCCACTCCCTTTCTGTCTCTCATTTAAAAAGAACTTCTAAGGGCTCCTAAGAGATAATAACCAAACGTGACCAAATAAAATATGATAAAACAAAAATCACATCCAAGTTGGACAAGGCAAAGCAACAGAAGGAAAAGACTCCCAAGAGAAGGCACAAGAACCAGAGACCTACTTGTTCACACATTCAGAAGTCCCATACAAGTACTAAACAGAAAACTATAAATCATACACAGAGGACCCGGTGCAGACCGGTACAGGCTCCAATGTTGCTGCTTCAGTCTCCGTGAATTCATATGAGCTTTGCTCAGTGATTTTGAAGACCTTGTTCTCCTGATGTCCTCCATCCCTGTCTCCCCCACTCCTGCCTTCCTTCTCTTCCACAGGATTCCCTGACATCCCATTTAGAGCTGGGTGTTCTGAGGTGTCTCTATGCATAATGTCTGTCTGTGGGTCTCTGTATTTGTTCCCTGTGCTGCAGGAGGAATCAAAAGATGATAATTTAATAACAGTGCAGCCACCTTGCTGGCTATTCAGTATCTATACACTCCTGTCTATATGTATTTGGACTCTGTTAACAAGAAAGATAAATTTATGGCTTTGCCTAATAATGCTCATTTATCCTCCACATAAAAATGTTCTTACCCCTTGCCTAAATAAGAGGAGAGAGTCCCAAATTTGTCTTCATCTTGGAGTAATAGCCCAGATATTCATTTCTGCGCAATAGTAAATATTCCTCATCCCATTCAATTCCATCTGTCAACCAACAACAGTTCTTACATGGATCAATAAAGAGATGGAGAGAAGAGAGAGATTAAGAAACAAGAGAGGGGTGCACAGCTGCCCAGGGTTCGTTTGAACTGATGTGATATCTGTAATATTCAAGTCTTTGTTTTGTGTCCCCTCAAATAAAGCTTTCTGGATATTTTACCTGCTAAATGGATGGTATGGGTCTTCCTTCTTGACACATTCAAGTCTTCAGTCACTTTTCTATATTCAGTTCCAACATCATGACTTTTTTAAATAGTGCTTCTATAAGCCAGGCAACGCCATCCCCACCCCATGTGCTGCTACCACAATCCACTCTCCTATGGCATCTGCATTAATCTTTCTAGTCTGGAAGAAGACTTCCATTCTAATTGTTTTGATGGCATAAGGATCCCCAATTCTTCAGACCATGCACTTCAAATCCTCAGGAACATTTCTTCACTTGCCAAGAACAAGAGAATTTATTCTCATTTCTAAATCTTCATTCCTGGGCCTGTGTTTCCTGTCCAGGGAAAAGCAGAGCCATAGATTAACTAATCTTAGAACGTATGTTATATCCCATTAGATAGGAAATCACTGTGATGCTTGATTCCAAATCATAGCTTTTAGATTTTATTGGCACATGCCCCATCTCATCAGGCTAGCAGCTGGTAGTAATGAGCTACATGGGGAGATCAGTACTCTTCATGGCCATAAGACCACTCCTATCTCATCTTTGTAGTGAAATGGGTTCTTTGCTTGGAAAAAGTGCTGCGTGAGTTGTCTTGACGGAGAATGGGGCTTCTTGTTAGCCTACAATAATGACATTGGAAGTATCACTTTTACCAGGAACAGTTGTATCCAAAATGTGTGCTATTCCAGTACAAATAACTTTTGCCCAGGGTGGTCAGGTTTTACCTCCAGCCAGACTGCTAGTAAATGACCCTGAATTATCCTAAAGCTACAAATAAAACAAATAACCATTTGTTCCGTTAGTAATTTTTTTCTTCATTGTTGCCTTGCAGGGACATTTTTTTTTTATCAGAGTTTAATTCTTCAGTCATTGACAGAATATTTGTAAATTCCAATTCTCTCCTTATCAAATCAGTTAGCCATAAAAATCAACAAACTGAGGGACTGTGGACATGTACTGCAAGAGAGGAAGTAAAGAATGGAAGCTATATGAGTGTTCACGTCATGGACTGTGCATTGGCGACCCACTTGAGTCTGATAACCTATCAGTATTATCCGGTAAGAATTGTAACTTCACACAC